AGAAAGAAAGAAAAGAAAATCTGAAACAGCTATGATCGGCGCATCACTAATTAAAATACTAAGTAAAAGGCCTCAAATTTGAAGTACAATCTGGGATGTCTTTTTCTATCAATTCTTCAATAGGCAGATCTTGTCTTTCATAAAGGCCGAGGTCAGGGATCTTGGGACGCCGTAGGCCGTAGACCAATCACAACAGACTAGGCCATCTGACCAATCAGAGCAGAGCAGGCTCACGGGGGTTTAGAACGAACGAATCGTTGAGAATCGCTGGAAAATGAGGTGATATTAAATGCATATTTTGAGAAAACTAAAGCGTTTTTTGACCTTGCATGCATGTAATCCTATTGTAGGAGTCTCCCAAAACAATATTAGGAACCGTAAAAATAATAGGGGCACTTTAAAATTATAGATTTTTTTAAAGAAAGCATTAAGTTCTGCTATAATATATTATTACTTTACCTCGTCAAATGTAATGTCATTCGTTTTTCTATTTAATCTCATGGCTGAACAGAACAGTATTTGATGACAATACCGCTACTATTATATCACAAAGCTACTGTAACTGAAACTAATTGGACAAACATGTTCAGCACTATTTTTATGATTGCATGAAGGTTTGAAGGATAACTGAATAAGGGATTTCTAACAAACCATGACAGATGAAAGCAAAATATAGCCTTGGTTTGCAGGTTCGCGGCAGTGACAGCATCACCATCAACAATGGCACTAAACCCTTACTTCTCAAGTAGCAGAGTTAAAATAGGGGGTGGGATATGTCTAATGGACAGGTTTCTATGGATACCAGGTTAGATTTGAAGACACTTGAAGAGAAGTTTAAAAAAAAAACCCTGGGGCTTTGGTTGCTGTCCGCCACTGGTACCAAACAAGCCTTAATTAGATTTATTGGTAACAGGAAATGATTCACTGGATTTGTTTCAGCCTCAGCTGGTTAAATAATAATACTTGATCAAATTAGACTCTATTTATATATACACACACACACACACACACACAAGGGAAACAGATTTTGCAATGTATGATTTTTGATATACACAACAAATTTAGTAATCTAAAGTAATCTTCTAGCTTAAATTATGTGGCCAATGTGAACTATTGTAGTTGCCAGCATGCTTTGAATGGGACTTATTGGGGAGAGTTTAATGTTTTGTTGGGATTTAGAATTATTTCAGTTACTCTGGGTTCACATTGTGGTGTTAAGTGTAGCTTTTGCTTAGAGAATTTAGAGCATGTTCATGCTACTTTACTCAAATAGCATTTAATACTTAGCATTTTGCGTTCCACTATGTGTTATTGATAGCCAATAGTTTATTAATTATTAGCTAGTACAATCTTATAATTCAGCGGGGGGGAAAAAAAAAAAAAATGAAATTGAATAACTTGATCCTGTCAGGGAACCATATAAAATCATTTTGAAGCTCCTTAATCGTGTCACTATAATAACATCAATCCATAATTGGATTCGGTGAAGTTATATTTGTGAAACTTTATTCATGTGGAATCGATGTATGTGATTAAACAATTTAAATTCAGCACAGCTTTTTTCAGTGTAGACAAGTCAACTTGCAATTTATATTATGAGTAAATCAGTAAATCAGTTTCCTTTCAAACGTAGAAATCCACCCAATTTTTACAGTCATGAATGCCTACTACACTTGTTCAACACTACATACACTTGTTCAAATTGCCACAAGAATACTGAGAAGAATGCAGTACTGTTATGTTTGTTTTTTTGTTTCTGCATGTTAACAGGATCGTTCACATCACTGCAAAGTTTAGGAGGCCTTTGGAGGATTGCAGTTGGTTCTTGTTAATGCACTCCGGCTTCTGTGAGGTGAAGTGTAAACAGTGTATAATGGTTGTGTAACCTTGCATCACACCCATTAAAATTTCATTTGCGGCAGAAAAGAGTCTGACTGTCTGAGAGGCTAATACATTTCTTATCTGCATATCTGGTCTGATGAGGGTCCAAGTCAGACCACCAATTAACTTTATATCATTATTGTTTTGTGATGGTTAAAGCATTAGAATTATAAACAATACATACTTCACACAAAATGCAGAAGAGTAAAAAATTGTTGCTTAAAGGAATAGTAAGCCTTCCAAGATGTAGATGAGTTTCATTGGAACAAATTTTGAGAAATTTAGCATTACGTCACTTACTCAATACTCACCAATGGATCCTCTGCAGTGAATGGGTGCCATCAAAATCATAGTCCAAACAACTGATAGAAGGTTGATTAATTAATGTCTTGGGAAGCCAAAAGCTGCATGTTTGTAATAAATCCAAAAATATGCACAGATTATAATAATATAATATGCACTGTTTACAAGCAAAAACAGCAATATGCAAATATGTTGTTTTTAATGCAAGAAGACAACAGGGATGGACTAACACAGGAAGAAGAGTTATTATTTATTATGGCCAGAAGTGACTGTTTAAAGTTAAAATGTCTTAATGATGGATCTGTTTTGCTTCTCAAGATGTTACTTGATAGACTGAAGTCATGTGGATTACTTGTGGGTTATTGTGATGCTTTTATCAGCTGTTTGGACTCTTATTCTGATGGCACCCATTCAATGCAGAGGATCCCTTAGTGAGCAAGTGATGCTAAATTGCTCCAAATCTTTTCTGATGAAGAAACAGTCACATCCACATCTTGGGTGGCCTGGGGGTGAGTACATTTTTAGCAAATTAAAATTTTTGGGTGATCTATTCCTTTAACTGGGCAATTAAATCATTATGTGTTGATTTTTGCAGACATTTTAAATAGCTCAAAAACAATTACAGCATTACATAACATTTAGAGGAATTGTGTGGTTTATCTTAACAAAACTTGTGCTGACAGCACTATTGGATTTAAAAACAAAACTATAAATAATAATAATAGTGGTACTGATATTGATACGTTGGTCCTGCTGTTTATGTTTATTATTAAAGACAAGACCTATACAAGAGCAACCAACTATGCAGATAGATTGTCTCTGGTGCATTTGCTCTGTTATGAGTGTACAGAAATCAGAAATGACACATCTGCAATTAAGTGATGAATTATTACGTTTGAATCTCAGAGCGTGTGGTGTAAGTTTATAATTTTTTTCCCACAAAGCCTCCCAAGTGGCCAGTTTTCCACATTTATTGGCACATTCATTATTTTGTCAAGTTGTTTATGTGCTCCCACAGTCCCCCAGTTGGAGAAGCGAATAACTGTGAGTGTGATTGAAATGAGAATGTACATCGATGCCGCACCTGTTTGTTTTCTTGGTTGCCAGCCAAGAGCTCCATCCCTGAGAGGCATGCACTCCAACGCATTTGTAATAATCATTATATCAGCGTTTTTTTTTCATCCACTCAGATATATAATTGTTGTCATTGAGCAGGAATGACAAAATTACCTGCGCTTCTTGAATCAAGAAGTCTGTAATTACATTTAGCTCATTTGCAATTCCATCTGGAAGATGGGTGAACTTCAGTGTTAATATTATCTACCTGATGGTGACGAGAAGTTACTGTGGTCTGACGATTTATTCATTACCCTGTGATATTCAAACTAGAGATGGGTTTAAGAGGCATAAGAACCAATTGCTGACCCTATAAAGAGACAAACAGCCTCACCAGATGGTGCATTACACTGATTGATCATTTCTACCACTATGTTGAAGTTTGTCTTCTCAGCATGTGCTGATTAATATTTATGTGAGTGCTCTGTAATGATTGACCAAGAAGTGTGCAGCAGTCATGGCATGATCAGGACATTTGTTTTAATTACCTTCACCACAGGCTAAAGCAAAGAGACAAATAATTAGTTTAAACATTTTTACTGTTTTAGTAAACCAATGAATGCTTTTATCAAGTTTTGCAGTGATTCAACAGGGGCTTAGCCATTGATAGCGCCCCTACGCGTTCTCTTTGATGTACTGTATAAGCGGCTCTTTTTTCATCTCATGTTTAAAGAACTGCTTGCTGTTGCTGATTTTATATGGCAGTGCTCAACAATAAGGATTGCCCGCTGACCCAGGGCCATTGTGAAAGAGTTTCAAAAGTAGTTGATGAAATGGTTACAAATCCTTTTAGGCCAATGCTGCATGCAAAATAAAATAATCTTTATATACACCTTGAAAATTTAAACGTTTGGTTTCATGTGATCTATTTTACATTTTTGTTGCAAATTCTTCTGAATTGCCACCAGGATTTATCTAGCTCAGTGGTTGTCAACCAGAAGGCCGGGTTGCTGTAGATTAATTAAAGGTAACATCGGATGCCCATTTTCCACAAGTTGGTATGATTCTTAGGGTCTTCATGAAATGTCTGCAAAATACTTTGGTTAAAATTCCTCAATAGTCGCGTAAAACAACACCCTATTTACCTTGTCAAAAACAGCTCTGTTCACAGCGACCCATTTCGGTGCATGTCTCTTTAAATGATAATAAGCTACTGTTAACTCCACCCCTCTCTTCTGTTTTTTGTGTATTTGGTGGCACATTACCATCAAAACCAAAACTAATCCACTGCATCCTCAGTGGCTCTGATGTCTGGAGAAAATGAAAACTCTTGTTCACTTTTACATCCAACTACAAAACACCTGCATTGCTTACGAGACATTGTTGACGCTACAACTGCTCGAGCGCAGAGAAAATGGCGGACCGTGTACAACTGGCTGAGGGTGGAAATTTGCTAATACTGGACAGTATGAAGTCAGAAAATTAAAATGGCTTGTTAATTGAGACTGTTTAGGTTTTTGGGGGATTAAAAAAATGAATGGATTTTTATCATTGTAAGGTGTTTGTGTCCACACGCTGCTAAGGCTCATTTATATGCAAACACCATGTAAAAGTGAATTTTGCATCCGATGTCCCCTTTAAAACCTTTTAAAATAATATATTATTATTAACATAATTAATTTAACTTAACTAATCTAACAATCTAACTTAATTTAAATTCTAAAAGAACATTCTATCAAGAAGTAAATAAAAAATATTTTCCCCCTCTATACCTGTGGTTAACTTTTTTTTAAAGAACATACAGTTGAAACTTCTGTAATAGCAAAATAAATTGTTTAATTTACCTTTATTGACACACCTAGTTTCTGCTAATAATATTTGCTATTTATAAATTATATTATTATTTTCCTATTTAGATATGTAAAAACATAAGTTATAGAGTATATATAAGTTCTAGTTCTAGTCAAAATGTTCAAGTCAAATATAAAGTTATAGTTTATAGTTCGAGTCAAAAAGGTTGAAAACCACTGATCCACCTGATATAGGTTATAGTCTTTAAAAAGCTATCAGTAAAGTTTTGCATCATTTTCCAGCATGTTTATTAATTAATTGAGTTAGATTTGCAGCAGTATAATTTCCAGCTTAAAATCTTTATAAACAACGTACACTCATTTGAACCTGTTTCAGCACACTTTTTAATTGTGTAACTGAAACATTGATTAAAATCTAGAAGTCCATTAGTTAAGTCCATTTGTTATGTGCATTTTTTACAACGTCCACTTCTGTCCATGTTGTATCTTCTGTCCAGACGTTTCCTTCAGTCTCCTGCTGCTTGTATTTGTGGTGTGTGGTTTGGCCCTGCTGGGTGTCATAAGCGTCGCCACCTGGAAACTGTGCTGGGTGCCCTGGCGCAGCAAAGTGCTTTCCTCTAGCGCCACTGCCCTTGCCCCCACCCAGTCAGAGAGACACCAACACAGAGAAGAAGGTCACGGTGACTACTACCCAACCCTCAGAGACATTATGGCAACAGACAAGCTGAAGGATCCTGGGAACTTTCTGGAGGCGGCAGTGAAGATTAGTCATACATCACCAGATATCCCCGCAGACGTGCAGCTGTCCATGAAGGATCATCTGCTGAGACGTACGCGTATCTCACGGCAAACAACCGAGCCGGCCTCCTCTAACAGGTCAGTGTTCTGGAAGAATGAAGAAATGTTTGTGTCTGAAGACCTTCATATAGGTCATCACAGTTTACTGTATATACAAAGCCATTATGAGGTTAGTTCCAGTCATTCCTAATAATGTTATTACTTAGGAAATCTTGTAAATGTCAGACAGAATTAGACCTGAAGTAGGTCTCTAGGTTTTATCGACTACATAGAAGGTCAGATGGTGGAAAACTATGCTACGTCCAGAGTAAAACCATATTTTGTGGGAACCTGGCAGCATTATCACCATCAATTTGCATTCAATCATGGGTTATAATTCAAATGTAGATTAACACCTGGTGTGTCTTTTGTGAAAGAACCAGTAAATCAGATCAGGATGATTCAGCAGCCAAATTTTGTTTTGCCAGGCATAGTTCCTTCAAAAAGCACCTTCCAAGGCAGATGTACCATGCCACCAGTCTGGACCGTGGAAGTGAATTTTTAGATGTGGAGGACCATCCCACCTGCACCGCTGCCTCTCTTGGCCGCATCCAACCGGAACTTTACAAACAGAGCACGATGGATGCTGAGGAGTCATCTAAGAATGGCACTGCCAAAACATGCGGCAAGATCAACTTCTCCCTAAAGTACGATTACGAGGGAGAGCTCCTCCTCGTTACCATCCTCAAGGCGTTCGACCTACCTGCGAAGGATTTGTGCGGCAGCTCCGATCCTTACGTCAAGATCTACCTGCTCCCAGACCGTAAGCGTAAATTCCAAACTCGCGTGCACCGCAAGACGCTCAACCCCACATTTGATGAGACCTTTCAGTTTCCGGTGCCATATGAGGAGCTGGGGTCCAGAAAGCTCCACTTGAGCATCTTTGACTTTGACCGCTTCTCACGGCACGACATGATTGGCGAGGTGATACTGGAAAACCTTTTTGAAGTTTCAGACCTGTCCCGGGAGACATCTATCTGGAAGGACATCCAGTACGCCACTAGCGTAAGACAATTTATCGTCTTTACTACCCAGTGAGTCCGTACCCCGCTGGTGATTCATCACATTAATGTGGCTTATGTCACATTAATGTCACCCTAATGATTTGGTTTTCTAATATTGGAATCCACTTGTATTGAGTATTTCTCTGAAAACACAAACAGTGAATAATTAGATGATCCATAGTCATGGTGTCCTATGGGGTGTGATATGGTAATTTGAAACTGTAATTATCAAACATGATAAATTGTGCAATGTACATATATTAAGTTCTAAAAACATTGAGGGTGAAAATTATTGCCTTATTATATAACAATACTGAGTCTGCAATAATCTCAGCTGTCTTAAAGGGATAGTTCACCCAAAATATGAAACTTCTCTCAACCTCTATAACTTACTTTCTTCTGTGGAATAGAAAATAAATATTTTCAATAATGTCTCAACTATTTGTCCATAAAATGAAAGACATTTGTGTCGAAAACAAAATTAGAGCCCTTTTACTTTCATTGTACGGACAAAAAACACAGGGACTTTATTTTATTATAAACTATCCATAGTATCCAGGACAGAAGTGTCATTTTGCAGTTAACTTTCACTTTAATTTTCAAACTAGTAATTTAACTTGTTTTATTGTGAATGGATGCGTTTATTGCCAACTGGGTTTTTTTCAGGGTTATTTTCTGTGCTGATTTTTTGGTATCTGGTTAAGGCAGAGACGCTCAGTGCCCTGCAATTCCACAATAAGGCCAGACTATTTATCATTTTGCTTTTCGAAGCAACTTATACATCATAATAATGTGGTGCACATCCTGATAAGGGGTTATTTTGTTGCATCAGGACGTGAGCTCCTCTTACTACTACATGTTAGTGAGTGTAGTATTTTGAGTTCCAGGTTTGTATCTCTTCTACAGAGTAGGGGGAGTCTCAGACGCGCACTCAACTTCTATATCACTCACCCGCAGCAGTTTGACAGAATTGTGCAGCACACTTTCAGTTCCACCCGTCGCTCTCATTGAAATTTAACTTTTCCAAGCAGCTTTCTGAGGCTTGTCTGGTCTCACCAAGGGCACCATTTGAGTCAAGACATCCACTGCTTCTAGTTAAACTTGACAGAGGTTACTGTAGCTATTTATTCCCTCTTCAAATCATATACATGTACATACTGTACAGTTTAACATATAAAGCTGAGTAAAACAAAGTAAAATCTCCATAATCAATTGGAAAAGAATGGAATCCCTGCACAGTGATAAATGTCTGTATAGTAGAAAAAATGGATGCTAATGATATCACTGATACATCAGCCACCTTGCTGACAAACTGACTCACAAAATTGTGCACTTGTTTAGCTCTGACTTTAACAGTGCAGAGATAAAGCATATCAATTCACATGATTGATTATAGTACACACTAAAGATCACTGAACTCAGTAGTTCTCAAGCTTGCAAGATGAGTTAAATGAGAGAGAAAGACCTATGGATATGTGATGCACTCATTAAATACCTTTCTCCTTCTGAGTTTATTGAAGGTTTTTATGTAAGTTAAAGGTTTATTGATGGCTCTGGGCACAATCAAATCTCTACATTTTCTCTACATTTCTATTTTAAAATGCTATGTGTAATATGATTGGAAAGTTGAATTTTCAGCAACCATTACTCCAGTCCTCAGTGTCACATGATCCTTCAGGAATCATTCTAATATGATGATTTGCTGCTCAAGAAACATTTTTTATTACCAATATTACAATTTTTTTTTATTATTATTACCAATGTATTACTAAACAGTTGTGCAGTTGTCCCCAAACTTTTGAATGGCAATGTACAGAATTAAGATTAAAAGGACAGTGTAAAATTCTGTCATTATTTGCTCACCGTC